TGGAGACCCAGGACAGCTGGTGGTGTTGTCCTAGTCTGAGTCCAAAGGCCTGAGAACCAAGAGCATCAAGGGGTTACGCCCCAGTCTGAGAAGACCAATGTCCCAGCTCAAACAGTCAGGCTGAGAGTGAATTTTCCTTCTTCTACCCGTTTGTTTTACTCAGATCTCCCGCAGAGTGGGCGAGGCCCCTGCACCTGGGAAGGGGCACCTGCTTTACTCTGCCCACGGATGCAGACGCTGATCTCACCCTCCAGCACCTGCACGGGCACACCCGGGAACAGTGCTTACCCGATATCTGGGCACCCTGTGACCCAGGCAAGTTGACATATAGAATTAACCATCATAAGTCTCATCAGCCTTCATGTTAAATAGGTCCTTTTGTAGGAGAGATGTCAGGGGACTCTAGATATATCTGACTTTTAGCTCTAGATGAGTTAGAAACTGTGCTGTACTTTACAGATATAGATATTAATATTATGTAACTAGGCTGATACTATACATATAATTTTTTATCCTTTTTCTTTCTTGTTTAATTTATTTCTCACAACTCATGACCTAGTCAAATATAGTTTTCATTTAAATTACAAATGACTTTTCATTTTCATTACAAAGCAGATCATTTTTTGGTCTAAATATAAAAACCTATCATCATGAGCAAGATTGAATGGAACACAAACATCCAGGGTACTCAATTACCATTCTTGCTAACCTTCTCAATTACTGCCTAATTGTTCATGGTTTGCACCAAGCTGGGATTAATGTAACTATTTCACCCTTTCCATCTGTCAGTGAAAGTGCTTAAAACCTTTCTGGGCCTTTAATTAGATTTGTTAATGTACACACATGTTGCTGCAATTCTAATCGACCTAGAAAAAAATAATACAAATAATAATAGCGCTTACTATGCCAAGGCACTGCTTTAAGCATTTTACATGCATATTGACTCATTTAATTCTTCATGACAACCCACTTGACCCAGTTTTATAGACAAGGAAAGGAAGCACAAAGCAGTAACTCCCTGAAGTCATCTGCTAGTGGGGACCTCACCTGGCTATTCTCTGCTAATTCCAGGGACAGGCTTCCCACACCTATTTTGTCTGTGAATTTGTGTGTCCTTTCCCTGTCTGCAAGGAGAACACAGTCACAAATATGCTACATAACCTGGTGACTATGTTTTGGTCACAATCCGTTTTTTTTTTCTGTCGACTTTCCCTTTTGAAAAATTCCTGATCCCATTTTAGAAGTGACCTTGCTTTGTGCCCTACCACTCAATGTTGTCTGGTGCAGGGACATCCTGGCTCCTGGCCCGGGGTTGTAAACTAAAACTCGATGGGCTCCTTGGGGTGACGCCCAGGTACATCCTTTGGGACCCTTGCCCCAGAAAAGGGCACAGTCCAGGTAGGGCAGAGCCAGGGGGCAGCAGGAAAGCAGCGGGGAGGATTTCCTGAGATCTGCAAGGAGAGGGTGAGGCCTGCTCTGTGTGATTAGCACTCAGTCGCTGTGATTAACCATGAGAGGGCGAGCAGGCTGGGCTGGCGCTCTGCAGGGAAAATAGAGTCCTTGGGACCTTGGGAAGCCTCACTCCAAAGAGCAACCGGGTTTGGTCCCTGTGTGTAGACTAATAACCATGAGGTCTGCGTGGAGCTTGGTGTATTTTGTGGGGGCAGCAATGGTAGGGTACCTGTGACTCTCAGTCCCTCCTGTCCTGAGATGCCAGGACCTGTCTTCTGCACCATACCCCAGCCACTGTCCCAGGGACAGGCTTCCCACACCTATTTTGTCTGTGAATTTGTGTATCCACTGGTCTTGGCTCTGCCTTCTTGCTCCTTCCCGGTGCACTCCCTTACCCCAACTCTGAGCAAGACCTGCCAGGGACAGACACGGTCTTTGGGTTCATGGCATCTGGTAAGGACGGCCTACAAGCACATGAGAGCCCCAGGACGCAGCGCAGGGTGATGTGGAGGGTGCACGAAGCCAGTAGAGGTCAGGGAGGGAGACACTCCCAGCTAGGGAACCAGGACAGACTCACAGAGAAGGTGGCATTCCAGTTGGGCTTTGGAGGTTGACACATCGTAGACGTAGGGCCTGGGGTGGGAAATCACAACAGGAGAGTGCAGTTCTGTGGGGCTCATACAAGGGGAACGGCGGTGGAGGGGGAGCTCAGCTGGCAGGGCTGGGCGGCCTGGGGAGGGCCTTAGCTATCGGACTACTCATTGCTACAGGACCAAGAGCTCAGGGCTGAGAGGTGGCCTGGACAGGTGTTTTAGGGCAGGTGTATTCTGTTTCTTATAACAGAATGCCTGAAAACTGGGTAATTTATGAAGAAATTTATTTCTCATAGTTTTAGAGGCTGAGAAGTCCAAGGTGGAGGGACCATATCTGGTGAGGGCCTTCTTGCTGGTGGGGGACTCTCTGCAGAGTCCTGAGGTGGCACAGGGTATCATAAGATGAGGGGCTGAGTGTTCTAGCTCAGGTCTCTCTTCCTGTTTTTATAAAGCTACCAGTCTCACTCCCATGATAACTCATTAATCCATAATCTACCTCTTAAAGACCTCACCTCTCAATCTTGCCACATTGGGGGTTAAGCTTCCACATGAGTTTCAGAGGGGACAAACATTCAAACCATAGCAGCAGGCACTGCAACAGGCAAGCTGTCCCAGGGCAATGCCTGGTGGCCTCCATTGGAGAGCCTACTCTGTGTCCTCTCCCGGGCATGTGTGTCACATGGACAGGGGGTGAAGGTGTCTAATGGTGTGAGGGACCTGGGCGGGGAGGAAGAGATCACAGGGCGAGGGGAAGTGGAGCTTGGTGGGAGAAGGCATGTGGGTCAGTTTATTCTGGGACCAGGTGCCAGTCAGATGCTCCAGTCAGAAACCAGCTGAAAGCCCAGTTTGGTGTCAGAATCCAGAATTCTGCACGTTCCCTAGAGTATGTGGCCTACAGCCCGCTGGGTATGAAACAGCCAAGCAGGAGAGCCCAGGCACTGGCCGCCAGAGTGTGTTTGTGAGTTCGTGGTTCTCAGGGACAACTCTTGGCCTGAGGACTGTGACCGCCAGGTGTGGCCTCTGCTGTGTGGACTCCATCTGGGCCTGGCTGTCCCCCACCAGACCCTCCCCTGCTCACCTGAGGGCCTGATGGGAAAGGAAGGCTTCTGTTGATAGATTAGGTCCCAGGGCCTGGGATGGCCGTGGTCACAGAGCCCCAGCACCTCCCAAACAGGAGCTGCATCCCAGAGAGCAGTTGGCGCCCTGGAGAACAACCGCAGGAGGCAGCGTTTCACGCAGTGTTGGGGGCAGAAGGGCGCTCCCTGGTTCACTCAGCCATTAAGACTAAAAGCAGGGAGGACAGGGAGGGACCATTTTATCAGAGGCCTTTATGGTCACAGAGTGGGGCTGCAGGAGAGAGGAGAGGCAGGGAACCAACCCCCCCACGCAGAGCACACTCACCATTCCCGGGGACGGGGGCTGAGGGCCACTAACCAGCACCCCTGCTGCCAACTGCGGTTTTGTCACGTGTTCCATTAGGGGGAATCATGTGAAACTGCCATTTTTGTAGGTTGAAAACAGTGAAATACTGTCAATTTTACATATATTAATACTTAATGTAATGAATAGAGTTGGATTTAAGTCAGGAGCCCATATATTCCCAGTTTAGGGCATTAAAACTCTTTTTTGCATTTAATTATCATGGGTACATAATAGTTGTAATTAGTTTAGGGTTTTTTTTTTTTTTTTTTTTGAGACAGAGTCTCACTCTGTTGCCTGGGCTAGAGTGCTGTGGCTTCAGCCTAGCTCACTGCAGCCGTATGCTCCTGGAGCGATCCCCCGCCTCAGCCTCCCGAGTAGCTGGGACTACAGGGATGGGCCACCATGCCTGGCTAATTTTTTTCTATATATTTTTAGTTGTCCAGCTAATTTCTTTCTATTTTTTAGTAGAGACGGAGTCTCGCTCTTGCTTAGGCTGGTCTCGAACTCTTGAGCTCAGACGATCCCCCGCCTCAGCCTCCCAGAGTGCTAGAATTACAAGAGTGAGCCCCACGCCCTGCCGTTTAGGATTTTTTTTTTCAAATGAACTTTTCCCATAGCCACTGTTCCTGGAGTGCCCCCTACAGGCAAGCCTCCAGACAGAGCACTTACTGTTATCTGATTCTATTCTCAACCAGAGGATGTACAGTTAGTACCCCTATTTTACTGGTGAAGACAGAGAGGCACAGAGAGGTTAAGTAGAATGCCTAGGGACACACAGCTAGTGAGTAATAGAGCAAGATGTAGACCTATATCCGTCTGAACCCATGTCTTAGACCCCTGCACAGACTCTCTGTGCAGCCTCCGCGGTGGGTAGGTGAGTGGGGGTGGGCACTGGACATTTCAGTTAAAGAACCTATTCAGAGTGCTTCGGGCTAAGTGGCTCCTACATGGCCACCAGGGTCAGTTATAAGCTTTGTGGGGTCTAAACTAAAGCTCATATAATTTGTTGGACCTTTTTTAGGAACAAGAATACAAAAAAATCTTACTTTTGCGAATTTGGCAAAAACGTATGTCCATTCAGACAGTTTGCTGAGAGCTCTCCCTGGCCTAACTTGTGCAAGTTAGGGGTCCTGAAGCTTAAGCTGCATTATCAAGGTTCTGACTCCCGGAGGGTCCAAAGTCTACTGGTGTGAGAGTGTGTGTGTGTGTGTGTGTGTGTGTGTGTGTGTGTGTGCGCGCGCGCGCGCACAAAACCTTAACTCCTTGTTGGCCATGTCCTTGGCAGAGGGCACAGCTGCTTCCTCTTATGGCCACCAGAGGGAGATGCTCTCCTGGGAATTGTTTGCAGTGGGGCCTCACCCCTGCAGGAAGGGTCCATGGCACCTGCAGTCCAAGGGCCACTTCTGCTGTTACCCTCAGGCCCAGCTCTGCTCTGAGCAGAGAGGAGTGTTGCTGATGAGGCCTCATCTGCACCCTGTCGCCTCCCCTTCCAAAGAGGCACTCTCAGGGCAAGGAGGGTACAGCAGTTGGAGGGAACATAGGAATTCTACCTGCATTATACCAAGGAGGAAACTTTTGTTCTGTTAGGAACCACTGACCCAGTAGAAAATTCCATAAGTGAAAACTAGCAAAATATTCAAACTGGAAGCATATAAAATTTAATTTATCTTTAATTCAGTTTTAAGAATAGGGGGGCATTAAACTCTCATGTAGGTGCATCTGAGCTCTGTGCTGTCGGTTTGGAGAGGAGACTGCCAAGCTCCCAGGAGGGCCATGTCCCTGTCGTGTCTCCATCCTTTTAGCTGGGAGCTCCTGCAATCCAGCACTGGTCTTGGTTCATTTGATAGCCCTTGAGTTAGCAGATGGAGCTTCTCAGTAAGTGTTTCCAGAATGCATAAGAGAACAGAGAAAGAAGGGGACAGAAAATGGGAGGGAAGGAAATGATGAGACAGAGAAAGAGAGACAGAGAATGACCACCATTTATGTAAAGGAACCCTGAGTGTCTATTCTTTATGGTACTTTAGACATAAAGAAGAGAGGGACGTATAAAGGTAAGTAAGTTGGTGTTCCTGCTCTCAGGTAACTCACTGTCATGTGAAAAACGTTCCCCACCACCAAGGCTGCCCTCTGATGAGACCCACTCCTTCAGGGCTCCTAGCATTGGGCTTGCCTGGCAAAGGTATTGAAAACTCTACTGTACTCTTGTCCCTTGTAGGTGACATGCTAGAGTGTTCGTTTGTATCTCTGGAATCTTTAGCCATCTCTGTATCCCCAGCGTGTTGAACTTCCATGATGATGATGTAGGCATGCCCTGGTGGAGTTATTGTTCATTCACTGTTCTTGGATGGGAGTCAAATATCTCCAACTCTAGGAAATGTTCGTTTTACATTTTGGAAACACCCCCCTCACCATATGTTTCTGTTTCTAGTTTCTAGGATTAGCATTAGTCAGGCGTTGGAGACCTGAATTGTTTTTATTTTTATTTTTCTTCTCTTTTTTATTTATTTTCCTCATTTTTTGCCCCAAACCCAGCCAATTAGCAGATGGAGTCCTGAATTAATCCTCTACAGCTCTTATCTTTTCTTTCATATTTTCTGTTTTGTTGGTTTTTTTAAAGCCTATTTTCTGTTCTACCAACCCTTCTATTGAAATTATTTTTCAGGGGTTATATTTTTAATTTCCAAGAGCTCTATCTTGTTTACTGAATTTTCTTATTTAAGCATCCTTCTTTTTTGTGCCTATAGTAGTTTCTCAAATTTCTCTGAAAATAGTATATATATTCTTTAAAGTTTCTTTTTTTTTTGAGACAGAGTCTTGCTTGTTGCCCAGGCTAGAGTGATTGCCATGGCGTCAGTCTAGCTCACAGCAACCTCAAACTCCTGGGCTCAGCAATCCTGTTGCCTCAGCCCCGAGTAGCTGGGACTACAGGCATGTGCCACCATGCCCAGCTAATTTTTTCTTTTTAAAACATTTTTTTTGAGATAGAGTCTCACTTTGTTGCCCAGGCTAGAGTGAGTGCCATGGCGTCAGCCTAGCTCACAGCAACCTCAAACTCCTGGGCTCAAGCAATCCTCCTGCCTCAGCCTCCTGAGTAGCTGGGACTACAGGCATGAGCCAACACGCCCGGCATTTTCTATATATATTAGTTGGCCAATTAATTTCTTTCTATTTATAGTAGAGACGGGGTCTCACTCTTGCTTAGGCTGGTTTCGAACTCCTGATCTGGAGCTATCTGCCCGCGTTGGCCTCCCAGAGTGCTAGGATTACAGGCGTGGGCCACTGCGCCCGGCCTATTTTTTCTATATATATTAGTTGGCCAATTAATTTCTTTCTATTTATAGTAGAGACAGGGTCTCGCTCTTGCTCGGGCTGGTCTTGAACTCCTGACCTCGAGCAATCCGCCCACCTCAGCCTCCCAAAGTGCTAGGATTACAGGCGTGAGCCACCTCGCCTGGCCTAAAGTTTTCTCTTATTCCCTGTGTTATGGTTGTTTTCACTAAGGCCATTTTTCCTGTTTTATTTTTTTCTCTCAGATTTTTATTTTAAAAATGTTCAGACTCATATATAAGTTAAAAGAATAGGGCAATGAATACTTATATATTCTCTACTTATAATTATCAATTAATTAATATTTTAATTAATCATTATTTATTTATAATTAATTAATCATTATTAATTAATTACTCATTAATATTTTGCCATATTTGCTTTCTTTCTTCTGGTTTTTCACCTGAATCATCTGAAAGTAACTGCAGACATCATAACATTCTACTCCTAAATACTTATTATACATTTTCTTTGAGAATAAGAACATCCTCCTATACAAGCACAAGATCATTACCATACCCCAACTACTTAACATTAATTCAATAATATCTTCTAATATATGGTTCATATTTAAATTCAGTAAATGCCCAAATTTACTTTAATAGTGTTTTCTTTCTTTCTTTTTTTTTTTTTTGGTGGATCCTGGATCCAACCAAGAGTCACAGATTACAGTTAGTTATGGTGTTTCCTTACTGTCTTTTAACCTAGAATGCTCCCTCATCCCGTTACCCTTTACCAAGATTTTGGTGGTTTTGATGGCAGTGCCTTTTTGAAGAGCTCTGGCTAGCTATTTTGTGGAATGTTCTACACGCTGGACTTATCTATTGCATGAAACAGGTTAAACACTTTGTTGTGAGAACACTCCCAAGATAATTTTGTGTACCTAAGATCACACAGGAAGCAGGTGCTTCCTCATGATGAGACCTGGCTTGTGCAATCCCAGCAGTCACACGACATGAATGATGCCATGTCATTTTCAGGCCCGTGGGCCACCTGACCTTCACTGGGGACGTTGATTTGGATAATACAGTCAAGCTGTTGTCGTCTTTACACACATACTTTTTCCTTGCAATAGATAAGCCATCTTTGGGGAGAAATTTCAAGACTATGTAAATATTGTGTTTCTTATCTAATTTTCTGTCATAGATTTAGCACCCATTTTCCTGAACCAGGCCTTACCCTGCTGGTCATGAAATGGCGATTTTCAAATTTAACTGGTTGTTCCACATATCAGCACTTTCTGACTCTACAAGATGTTCTGTATTCATCTTGTACTTTTCATGTTCTAATCCCGAATCATTCACTCTCTTTTCTCTATAAATCACCCAGCCGCAGGCATCCCTTTATAGCAGCGCAAAATGGACTAATACAGGGACCTACTCGTTTCCCCAGGGAAGAAACGTCTATTCTCCTCCCTCAAGAATGGATGTTCATTTTTGCCCACAAGGGAAAGGGAGGAAGGGGAGAATGGGGAATCATTTTTATTTTGCATACATTTTCAATTAACCACCCTGTTTCCAACTGTATATATCTCTTGACATCCATAGTTCTGTACCTGGTTTCTTAGAGACCTGAGTCCCTCTGACACTCCATAGGGCTAAACAGCCCCTTTCTGTATTTGTATTACCTCTGGGACAATATTCTAATCTGCACCTTTAGTCATCACTCCTCCTTCTGCTTCCCGTCTTCCAGAATTTTGTCAAAATCTCATATCTGTTGACGGTTCTTCTCTCATTGTCTTGTGGATGTAGTTTTTCTCCCTTCACTTTAATTTTAGTGGGGTATAGGGGCAGGGAACGGAGATACACAGAGATGGTTAACCCGCCATCTTTCATTATAAATCCCTTCTCTTGGAATTTTGAGTATTAAAAGAAAAGCTGCCCCACTAGAAAGAGAAAGAAGATGGTTCTGTGGTAGTGAAGTGGCAGGAGCTGGGTCAGGTCCTGACCCTGTCTCCTGGGTCGCAGGGCAGGGTGGTGCGGTGGTGCCTGAGAACTGACAGAGCCGGACCTGAAGACCCTGCTTCTGTCCCTGGGTTTGTAGTTTCACATTCTATACGCTGTTGAAAGACATCTTTAATGTAAGAAAAATGTGGTTATGTGTTACATTGAACATCTCTCCCTGTGGTTAAATGTGGTGCTTAAGGCACTTCCTGCCCCATCCTGAGAGGGGCCATAGTTTGTTCAACCCATCTCTTGTGTTGGCCCCACCCACAGACTGGGCTTCCTCTGAGACAGAACCAAGCCCCAGTTCCCTGCACCCTCACCCCCCTCGGGACCAAGCCCGTTCCCTTGGGTATGTGGTTTTGGCACCCTCCCTTTCCTGTGGCCCACCTGTTAAGCCCCAGCATACTTTGCCCATAACTCATAGGATTATATAGAAAATAAAATCCAAACACACTAAGGAAACAGAAAGGCAAAGTCATGGCTGGGACTCAGCCCCGGTCCCATCCTCTTGCAGTCACGGTCTCGGCTGAGCGGTGCCCTTTCCTCCCAGTGTTTGACTTGGGTGCCAGGCCAGGTGGTGAGTCAGCCTCCTGCGTCCCATTCTGAGCTGAAGGAGCCTGTGTCCTTGGCACTCCTATGACACTTAGGCCAGAACTGTCCTGCGGCCCTGGTCTTGGCGGCAGCTCTGTGTGGGCTCAGAGCCTCCCTGGGCACCCTGGAGCCTGGACTCCCGATTGAGGAAAGCACACTAGATTGGTCCCAAGAGTCCTTCCTTTGGGCTTCGGGCACTGGGCACTACTCTCATGAATATTGCATGGGGTAGTGGAGACCACATGCCCAGTGACCATGGGCAGGTCATTCTCTTTCTCTGAACCCAAATGGGGATGACAGTGCCTTACGGGTGCCCCATTTGCTGTGGGCTTAAGTGTGGTCACGTATGTCACGTTCTCGTGCAGGACCTGATGCAAACATGTCCCCAGCAAGTGTGATTTTGCTTCTCTTTCCCCACTGGCCTAGTGGTCTCTGGCCCTTGTCTGGCCTTGCCCTGACCCATCTCTCTTTGACTCTTGGGGCACATATGGAGCACGTTCTCTACTGAATGGCAAGGCCACATCTTTACACGAGGCTCAGCGTCTTGCCTACTTCTTTTGTCACGGAGTATCTGGGTCTAATCTCCTGAGTGTCGTGTCAGCTCCGGGGTATGCACCGTATTCCTGGGGCTTCTGCACTTCATCCCTCAGCCTCCCCTCCCCTTCACCCAAACAGTATCAAATTATCTCCTCTATTTCTAAAATTCGAGCAGTGTAAGAGAGATAGTCAGTATTGGACATGTAACTCCAGCTGCCAGGATTTAAATACCAGTTCTGCCATTTATTAGCTGTGTTACCTTTCAGAAGTCATTAAACATTTCTACATCTTAGTTTTCTTATCTGTAAAGTATGAATGACACCGACCTCACAAGATTATGAAGATACAATCAATATGGATGGTATTTTGTAAGTGATAACGCATTGGCAGTTGTTGTTATGAATAAATACATACTCCCTTGTGAGTTTCTGGAAGGGCCCTGTTAGCTAGAGAACATTACAAACACA